GCGTGTTGTTCTTGTAGTTCTTGTAGGGCGATGTGAATTTTACAAGGTGTACACAATAAGAAAAATAAATTAAAATGGTAACGGTTTCTATTATGGGACATGAGGAAATTCAAATTGTTAGATTTGCATGTACTTCATAAATATTATGTCGTTTGTATTATTCTTTGCTTTGGTGACTTCACATTAGTCAGGTGGTTCCCAAAGAAAAAGGGATTTTTAAAAAAAAATCTTTTATAATAAATTTACTTTTGTTTGCGGTTGACTGGCTGGCTGGCAAGACGTTCTGACGCCTACATGACCCACTTCCCGTCAACCGATCGAGCTGAAACCTGGCACACAGACTCATTACCGATAGCGGCACATTCTATCAAATTGTAAGCCCCACCCTAAACCCCAAAAATCTCTTTTTCCTGTTTTTCAAGGTGATGATGAAGGAAATATGATTTCACGCAGTAAAATTCCCGATAACTGCGCTAAATCAGATTCGTTTTAAAATGTATACAAATGAAGTGCGTTTTATGCCCGATATTTTTTTTTTTTGTTTTGCTGAAATCGTTGTTGAAATAAATCTGTGGTGAAATAGTGGGTGGGTCATTAGAATATTAATATAGTTCAGCGGCGTGGAAACAATGTGCTGTTGCGAATCTTGAGAAGGGACTTCTCTATACGAAAGACTTTGTTTTTAGGGGCTGTTTAATCACGCTTTTATTGTAAGGATGGCGTTCCTAGTTACCAATGATATCACCGTAAAAGATAATAAGACATTAATTTTAAATGTACTTAATACATACTATTCAATTCCAATACTGTGGCTGTGAGGGTCTTTTTAAACTCATTTTTAACATCATCAATGTATATTAGGCCTGTGTTACGCACTGACTTGTATTGGGAGAAATTAATCTCCTATTTTAATTTTAATTTGCTCGTTGTAAGCAGTGCCTAACAAAGGACGATACCATAGAATCAACAATATTAAAGATACGACCCAAAACAGTTTCTAGTTACAATTAATAAGATTTATTATGTCTTAAGATAATTACAAAAGAAAATATAATATAATTACAATCTTCAACTTACAGTGTGGTAGATCTTGTACCGGTACACAGTTAACACAGTTAGAATAGTGTGCCAATAAATAATGCGAAATAAACACATATGAGCATACAAATACACAAAGAATAAAACACGCCTCATAATGTTAAGAAAATGTATCTGAACTCTCCCTCTCTTCGTATCTGTCAATCCTTTATATACATGTAGAGTAAGACGCTTCCAGAAGGGCTTAGGACGTGTTGTTTACATATCTCGGGTTAAGGAGTACATTCCAGAAATTACCCGATGACATTCTACCCAATGCGTAATTGGAAGCCGATTGTAAACAAGATACTTCAAAGACCTAAGCCACACCCCTTTGTGAACACAGCGTCTCATGCGGGGTCAATCAGAGGGCACGCACGAGAAATATTATGTAAACAAGCTCTCTGTAACAGCCTGTATCAAATTGAATTGAATTATATATATACATATATATTAAAATATTCCAATGGTATACTATTTCTATTGCCATCCAAAGATTTTAAAAAATGTGTAATTTCTTTCTTTATTTTGAATTTTTAAAAAAATTAATTTATTTTTAAAATAATTTGTTTGCTGTTTGTGGTTTTCTTCTCAAAGATAAAATACATTATAAAAATGATAAAGCTGACAGTGACTATGTTTGTTAGTAGATGGGTCGACAATCAATTAAAAAACAAAATATGGATCGCAATATAATTTAACATGGACATTCCATTTGACCTACAGATGCTTCTTGGAAAATTTTGTCATAATTCCCGTATCTCAAAAGCTGTATTTTTTTTTTTTTTAATTGTAAAATATAAAGAGTAGGGAATAAATATATATTTTTTGTCAACAACTTCGAGGAAAGTTAAAGTAAAGTCATGTTTGGTGTACACATTTTTGTTCATTGCTAGCGTTGCCGGCAATCAAAAGTGCAAAAACATCTAACATTCACAAGCTATCTGAAAGGGCTGGCTTGTAGCTTTCCATGACACCAAGATTATCAATTATAGATGAAATGTTATGATTTTTTTTCTTTTTCTGACAGGTTTATTTTAGCACAGCAGTCTGATGCAGAATCATTATTAGGCCTACCAAATTTATTTAAAGTTTAGTTTGTAAATTTATTGTTTCCAAAGGTGCAGTCATCACATTATAAGGAGACCCTAACAAACCAGATTAGGATATGGCCAATGTTCCCTCTAAGGTTTGTTTGTTCGTGTGCAAAATCATACAGTTGTGTGCAAAGTTTTACAGCTTCAATTTTTTTTTGTGCGCAAAATTTTACTGCCCACTTAATTGCATGGAAATTTGCTGCGCGGTACTAAAAACTGCTGCGCGGCGTCTGTAAGATAGCTGCGCGGCCGCGCAGCCCCACAGCTTAAAGGGAACATTGGATATGGCGTTTTATTTTATTTTTATTTATTTTATTTTCTTGAGGAAAAAAAGGGGGGGGCGAAGAGGTAAACTACATACTTAATAAATGAATTTTCCATTAAAAAAAAAAAGTTTCCATCACAAAAAAGCAGTGTTAACATCATTTTTACGCGTTGAACGCAAATGAAAACAAAAAATACTTCTAATAATTACCTTTCCTTGGTATTTCAAAGTTTTACCAGAGTCAAAATGAAAACACAAAGTTCAAAAGAAATGTCTATACATTTTTATGGGTTATCAAAACTGGTCATTTGTATGAATCGTAATAAACGGCTTTATTATCTAAAGAAGACATAAGTTGTTTACAAAATGACATTATATATTTATTCATGTGTGATTTTTATTTGAGGGAAATCGTATTTTTAAAAATGTATAAATTTCCCACTTCATTTATATTTTTATTTGCATTTACAAAATACTATAACTTTTTTTCATATAAATTAAAAATTGCCACTTAGATATACTTTAAAACTTTTTTACCAAATCCACAGAATTTATTTTAAACTGATAAATTAGGAATATTTTTTTTCTAAAACAAGTACCAACAAAACCTCCCCAAAAAATGGAATTGGCATGACAATCGAAATGCTAGTTGTTTTTCAGCTTGCTGCTAGATTCTCATATTTAAAGTTTTTTTTTTAATATTTTTTTTTATATTTTTTTTTTTAAATCCGTGCATTTTGTTTATTATTTTGATATTAAAGAGACAAAGGCATTTGGGAATTTCATAAATATAGTCTAAGTATTTTTAAACTCAGTTATGCGTGTTTTATTTTTTTTAAGTAGCACATTTAATCATTTAAAGAAAACACAAACGCTTTCTTTTTTTTTTATAATGATGAAACGTGCACTATTTGTGTGCGCCCGTGAAATTCTTAAACAGTGGCTATTCTTTTTTTTTTAAAGCCTAATGTCATCATACAATTTCTAATTAACGAACCATCCCTTCTTTAAACGTCGTGCTTTTTATACTTTTATGATGAAATATTACAGATATGATTTGAAAATAGATTGCACATGTTTGATACTTAGCAAGAACTAGAGTCTTTTATTAAAAGTGTAGACCTTCATATTGATGTTAAGGTAATTTAATAATAATACAGTGTTATTTAATTCTTTAAACTTGTGAAGTAGCAAAATATGAACGGAAAAATAATACCGATATGTGCGAACAACATACAGTTCAACTCAAGCATATAATCTGGAGCGGCCAGTAAGATATTATAATTATAATCCTAAACGCCCTTAACTAGATTTTACTAGATTAGCCTTTAACTTTAACATACGTACCATAAAATATATTGTGCGTAGCGATATTCCATAGATTCCACTAATTGTAATCGGTAAAGGGCGCCATATAATATTCTTTTTAAAACTCTTTAAAAATGACAATTTAGTCGTTTTAAGTAAAACAATAATATATAATCGTTATTATAATATTGTTGTAATTATTTTGCTCGTGGGGAGGGGGCATTTGACTTTCTCCATACATTGTTACTCAGAGATACAAAAAGTGCCGCCACACGGGGTAGGAGACCCCCTCTTCATACGCCAGTGACTGTACTAGATAGAATGCTTAAACTTGAAGTCTAATTGATACGAAAAAAATGTTTAAGTTCTAAATGCATTGAAATAGTTCATGTTTGGCAAAACACCCAAATAAATTAAATACACACAAATAAATTAAACATGTGAGGTTCAATACAATCGTTTAGGTGTACCGCAGTCCACAACACCTGGTCGTTAAGATATGGTCTGCAGGCTACGTTCCGATAAGCCACTCAAACCCCCACCCATATGGCATGTAGGCTACGTTCCGATAAGCCACTCAAACCCCCACCCATATGTCGTGTAGGATTTGCATATTTAACCACTCTGCACAATTAAATCATGGATTGTAATAATTTTTCCTCATATCAATAAATATAAATGTAATCGATTTCTTCTATTTAATGAAACTTAATTATTTTAATTTATCATGACTTAAATTTCAGCCTTATGCTTAGGTTTTAATTTTATAATAAACACACCATCCCACTTTCTTTTTCAGCCTCATCCGCTTCATCTTACATTTTTTAAATTTTATTTCCATCTCAACTTTATTTTGATTAAATCAAGCACACACTAATTTATATATATATATTTTTTTTTTTTCGAAGTCAATTAGCAGAGCGTGGTTCACACACTAATTAAAGGTTGTCAAAGTCCTTAACCATGATGGATGGAAAGTTTGAAGGTTTAAACATGACAACATGAATATTAGGCCTATAAGTAATTTTACGTTATGCACGGATAGGAAGTATTTAATTGTTCAACGTTGCTTTTCTTGATATTATGATTCAAACCAAAACATACAAAAGCATTTAGCACAAGAGTTCAATAACGCTTGGTATTTTATTTCTTAGAGTCTAAGTCTTACAAAGAGCAGAAAAAGCGGATGAACGTTTGTGACTATTTTGGTATCGATACTTAAACATGATCGTTATTTTTTGCCAGGAAAGCTATTTCACGTGATAATTTTGGATAACGATCATAGGCCCGTCACATGTCTGCTTGATATTGCTAGCTTGTGCTGAGTTATAAGTTTATTTTATAATTATAACTGAAATATTCTATACTATAGGAAATGTAAGTTACTTCGGTCAGATTATAGTGCAATAAAATGAACTGACCGAGCATTTATCACACAATGACAATATATGATGAAAATATGATTATAATTATAAAAAGTTAAAGTCTTAAATTTAAATTTAATTAACTTGGACTTGGACACTTTAGTCTTAGTAAAGTTATTCATAGTATAATAGTAATAGCCCTAATTAATAGTGTAGCGTACAACTTTTAACTTGTACTTATTTTAGATTTAGCCTAGCTCTAGGCCAAAGTCTTAAGCCTAAACTGTTTTAAACTTAGACTTAATTAAACTTTAAAACTTATTAATAAAGGCATGCCGCATAGTCTACAGTGAAGTAGCCTACAGTTACAGGCTACAATTCAATATATAATAATATAGGTAATTACTTGTACGACGTGGACGTACAATACGTAGGCAGGCCTATCCTATAAGCTTATTACGTAGGCCTATAAGCCTATTACGTAGGCCTATAAGCCTATACTGGCTATACTGACCTATAGTGTGGTCTATAACTTAGTCTACTAATAGTAATTAGTTATATACTTACTAACTTAGACTTAGATAAGTTAACTTAGGACTTAGGGTAATGGAGGGCATTAAGCCCCATGTTTTCAAGAACTTTTTATTGTTCTCTCTGAAATAAATGAATATTATTAAATTCAAACTGAAAATGTTTTTAAATAACAGACCACACATCTTTCTTGAAGTACAAAAGCTTTACTGAGCAAAATTTAAAGAAAAAAGGTTACAAAGTTAAAAACTAATTATGACTTAAATTTAACAAAATGGGGGCAATTAGCTTCAGCATGTTCAATGCATATATTTTCACATAGGTTGTAGTGATGTAGGCAATTCTGACAGATCTATTCCATGGCTTCAATGTCAGATTTTTCTGGGATTTCATTTCATTATCAAAACTATATTTTAACATTTGTTAAACCTATTTCATTCTACAAATTAATAACTTTTGATTTTCAATTTAAACTTTATTTGTCATAATCTGTTTAATGCTATTTGAATTAAAACATGGATTTTATTAATCTGATCAATATTATTTGGTTGTTTTAATCATCTTTTAACAGTTGGCGGTGTTAAGCCCCTGCTATTTAAAATATTCATTTTTATAAACTAATTAAATAAATAAATAATATACAGAACCACATCTCTTTTACAAATGCTACCTATTCAAAATATTAGATGGAACTTTAGTATTAAAGTGAATTTTAGAACTTTTTATAAACCAGCTCTAAATCATTCATCCAACTGCCATTTTACTTTGCAAAATGACCAGCGCCAGCTTCATTTGCTCTACTAATACTAATATTAGTATTTTAACTCATTCATTACATACACATAGTTAAAAACTAAAAAAAAGTAGGCCCTACTTGCTGAGTTTAGTTTTACTTGTTTTTGTATGTAAACTAAAAAACTTTCACTGTAGAAATACAATTTCAAGTAAAAATAAACAAGCACCCTCTTAGCTGAAGTTTTACAAAGGGTTTGAAGAAGGCTGAAAACTAGAGGGGAAAAGCACTCATCTAAAAAGGCAAATTAAAAATCAATCCCATAGGTTAGAAACCCAAGAATGGTTGTGAAAAGTTCTCTGATTGGTTAGTAAGTTTCTGTCAACTAAAGCTTAATGCCTTTCTCTCTTCTTACAATAGTATCAAGCATTTTATTGTATGAACTGAGCAATTAGGGCTTAATACCCCATGGAGCCAATAACCTCCCTTTACTCTAATAAGTATAGAAGTAATACTATATATTTTATTACTAATATTACATAGACCTAGGCCTAGGCAAATGTAGCCCAAGATTCAATTCATAATATATTGTAACATTTAAAAATGTTAGTACCATTTCATTAGTAGTATAGTTTAATATTAATAGTATTCAGATATTTTATAATTTATAGTCTTAAATGTGATGTTCTGTGTTTTCTTTTTTGTTGTTGTTTTTTTTAATTTTATTCAATTATTCATTGATTTGATTCAAATCAATGAATAATACTACCCTAAGCTTGGGATATATAGAAAGGTTGTGATTGTGATCAAAATATAATTTCTTATTTATTTCTATTTATTCTTTTGCAGTGCCTTTGCTATAGACTACTATTTCCTTCAAAAATGTCTTCAGTATCAGCAGAGCAGAAGCTACCTTCTGTTTTTCTTGGACGTTCAGGTCTGAAGGTTTCTAACTTGTGCTTGGGGGCTATGACATTTGGTGAATCTGCTGTAAGTATTAATATAGAATATTTTATCTAAAACAAGTTTAAATAGGAAGAACCCAAACCTAAATAATCTTTCAACAAGAATAGGTAAAATCAAACAATAAAAACATGGATAAGTTAAGATATTTTGGTTCTATCAGTATGTTAGATATTAAGTTAACATTTTATTTCTACAAAATTTTACATCAATGAATAAAATTCAACAAATAACAGTGGGGAACCCCAGGACAATGTGATGAGGACCTTTCCCATCAGATCCTTAATCGATATGTGGAATGGGGTGGAAACTTCATAGATACTGCAGACGTTTATGGTCGTGGAAAATCAGAAGAAATCGTTGGATCATGGCTTGCAAAGTAGGTCTACTTCCTCCTCTTTTTCTTTTATTTTTCATGGAAAAAACATAAATAGTATAAATTGAGTTTGACTGCAGCAAATTTAAATTGTATTAATTTAACTTAAAAACAATTAACTACTAAAGAAAGTAAATATGACAGTTTTACACACATTTTAAAAATATTTTAAATGACTTGTTCAAGATAAAACTAACATTGCAGTTAAAACATGTTTTTATCCCAGGCAGCCTAGAGAAAATTTCGTCATTGCTACCAAAGTACGTGCTAACATGGGAACTGAGCAAAATGTCAATAATGTTGGACTTAGCAGACGTCACATAACAGCAAGCATTGACAACAGTTTACGTAGACTACAAACTGATTATGTTGATTTATACCAGGTATATATTATTAGGTGGATTTATATAGCACAGTACCCCAGACTAGGGCTAGGCTCACTGCGCTTCACATAAAAATTAGCAAATACAGAAACTTATACATTTAAAAACTATTGGTGGAAAGCTTGACCTCACCCCTCCAAGTACTATCTACCCCTGTCTAGCCATGGACAGCACCCAGCAGAATCGATCGTCGTTTATTAGTCATAGCGGGGTGAGAAAGAGTCGGTATACTAAAGTTTGAAGAGATGGGTCTTGAAGGCTGTGATGGTTGTTATATTGCGGATGTGTAATGGGAGACAATTCCATTGTTTTGGAGCATTTGCTACGATTAAAAGATTTGTCATTATAAAATTATGTTTACTTAATATTGGCATGATCAATAAATTTAATAAGGGGCGAAAAAATTCACAGAATTTTAAATGTTTACATTTATTTAAAGCTTAAGATTCTCCCAATAAAAAGCTCTTTTATTGTTATCTCATTACTTGTTTTAGACACATGTGTTTGATAATGCTACCCCTCTAGAAGAGACTTTCCAAACTCTTAATGACCTGGTGCGAATAGGAAAAGTCCGATACATTGGAGTCAGTAATTTTACTGGATGGCAGCTGCAGAAGGCTGTAGACCTTATTGAAAAATTAGGATTGAATTCTATTGTTAGTTTACAGGTAAATCTTAATTTTTTTCTTTGAAATTAGTACCTAATTGAGAAATATATGTGAATTTCATGAGTTGTTCCTTTTTATTAGTAATTATTTAAATTTTTACATAAAAGATTGTGATACATTTTCTGGAAGGTATACTTATAACATTTAAAGTTATTTCAATTGAGAGAGTGGAAGAAAACAGCAGTAAGTGAATTAAGCAGAAAATAGAACTGAGAAAATAAAATTGTTTATGGCCTATTTACCCCTGGGATTGAATAAGGCAAGGAAGAAGTTTTAGAAAGATTTAAATTTATCCTAAAAGACAAATGCATCTAGAATTAGTAGAATGTGATAAAGTCAAACTTCCTTTTCTTTTCTGTAAAAAAAAATTTAAAAATCAATCAAGCAAATTGTTTTAGATTTACCATCCACATTAAATTATATGTCATTAAAAAAATGCAACTCATAATTTGCATCATTTAAAATAAATTATCTGTCATCCCAGCAACAATATAATTTGGTTAGTCGTGACTCTGAGCTAGAACCATTCCAAGTTTGTAAGACGGCTGGCATTGGAGTCCTACCTTGGAGTCCACTCAAAGGGTGAAAAGAAATTACAAATATTAGCTTCTTTTTAAGTCTATTTAACATCAGTATCAGTCACCCACTTCATAATATGCTCATATTCATTCTCATCAAGTTTTGTCAAATAGCTAATTTTTTCTGCAAATTTTGAAAATATTTCTACAAGCAAGAAACCAACTACACTGGTTTAATAAACTAAGAGAGGGTTTAATAAATTTTTGGATGTAATCTCACAAGTCATAATCAAATATTATACGGTAATCATTGTGTATACTGGTCATGGGAGATATGCTTCATGGAAACATTTGTAAATCATTTACTATTTTGTTACAGAGGTTTGCTAACTGGAAAAATCAAACGAGGTGTGAAGCCAGCCGAGGGAAGATTAGCCTGGGTAGCTGATGATGAAAACAAGAAAAGCCAGGCAGCTCCGTTGTGGACTAGCTTTGATGACAAGACATTCGACCTCATTGAAGCTGCTGAAGCCATTGGCAAGAAATATGGTAAATTATTAGTTAAGTTTCATTACATTAATGCACATTTACATTTGTTTATAGTGGGACTTATAATTGAGGATGTGTATATTTCTCAAAAGGCTATGAAGGCCTCCTACCAGCCTTTTTGTGTAGTTTTTGAACTGAATCAATGAGATTGGTATTGCATTTCAAGTTCCAGTTTCATTAACTGAAATATCAACTCTAAAGAGTCAGTACCAAGAGACAGAACATACATAGTTGAGGGAAGTGCTGTGATATGTGAAACCTGTTATTTTGTATGGTTTCTCTTCTCATGCTGGGTTACTGTTAACTTCATGTAATAAAAATTAAATTATAATATCTGAGTTTATATTTCTTTTAAACCCTTTACATTTTGAAAGGAAATATTAGGTCAAGATAGGTGTAATTTTTTATTGTGATATTTTTAGCATGTTTTTATTGTGCACCAACTATTACAGAGCGCAGTGTTGCACAAGTCGCCATCCGCTGGTTGCTGCAGAAAGATGTTGTGTCTTCAGTCATTCTTGGCGCAAGAAATCTCACTCAGCTTGATGACAACTTGGGGGCAGGCAATGGCTGGTCATTGACCAAGGAAGAGGTATAAAAAAGGCAGAGGTGCTTAAACGTAAAACCTACAACTAATAGAAAAGCCTTTAGATCACCGTTAGCATTTTAGTGGAACCTTAACAAAAAAATAAAAGGATAGTAAAAATAGAAAATAACAGTTTCCCAGAATTCTGTTAATAACCATCAAAGTGGTAGGACTTGAAAATCCTTGCATTTAAAGAATTTCAAATTTCTTTATATTTAAAATTAAAACTTAAATTTTTGTTTTAAATCTAAATATGCCAGACTTACTAGCATTATAATGAACATTCTTTTGCTGAACCGTAGGAGCTTTTACTTTTACTAAATCAGTCCCACACAAATAACCATTGGTTCATCATCATCATGTCCCTTAGTCCTTGGATTGTTGGGACGCCACAGATGACATGTAAACTATCCTCCTCCATTCATCTCTGTCTTCTGCACTTCGCACAGCATCGTCTAGTTTTAGTCCCGTCCACTCTTTCATGTTATCTTCCCATCTTTTTCTCTGTCTTCCTCTTCTTCTACCTCCTCTTGTTGTGCCTTGCATGATATCTTTGGTGAGCATTTGTTTCCTTGTCACGTGGCCATACCATTCCAGTTTGCGCTTTTTTTAGTCACCAGGAGGTGACATCAAGTTTGACCAAGTTCTCATCATATCAAATAATTCTAAATCTTCTCAATTTCAGATGCAACAACTTGATGACCTCTCCAAACCAACTCTGCCCTACCCTTATGAATTTGTGTTCCGATTCAATGAGGACCGCAGGAATCCAAACACTACTGACCACTACGTCAGATCCCTGTATGACTGATGATGCCTCTGTCCCAGTCAGTGTTTGATTGACACTCAGTTTTGTTCTTGGTCATAGCAAAGATTCTATGGCATTTATTCCAGACTACTGACTTATTACTATGTTGATTAATTCCTTGTAATCTTCATTAATGTGTTTATTGATGTAAGGTACAGATTACATATCATATGATTGAGCATTACATCAAAAATTATTCTAGCATTTATTTATTTCCTCCTTATGCAAATATTCAATTTTGTTTGTTGATGGATGTTTTTTTTTCTTTGTAAAGAAACCTCAGATATATCTTTAACGAACAAAAGCTATGCATTTTGAATATATTTGAATAAATTGTTGACCCAGCATTAGTTTTGTTTTTTTATTATTTTAATTTAATTGTATATAATTTTTTAAAATTCACCCACATTAACTCTTTAGCTTTGACTAAGCTTCCATCAAATCTAGTTAATGAAGGGCAATTTCAAACACTTTAACAGAGATATTTTGTACATTAAGTAAGCTAATCAAAAAGTGCTCTGGATATTTTTAGTCATGCCTGAAGTATACTCCCTATTAAATGTACATACAAAATACTGACGAAACTTATTGTCAAAACACTACAACCTTACACTGAAGAAATACTAGGTGATTACCAATGAGAATTCAGGCCTAACAGATCAAAGACTGATCAGATTTTCACCATCTGATGCCTATTAGAGAAATGCTATGAATTTAATATACCAGTACATCAACTCTATGTCGACTATAAAATGACCTATGACAGCATCAAAAGAAAGTATTTATATGAGACTCTGCAGGAGATTTGGATACCCAACAAACAATGCTAATACATGTAACACTAAACAACTCATCAGGGCAAAATCAAGATTCAAGGAGAATATTCAAGGGAATTTAATATTAGACGAGGCCTAAAACAGGGAGACTCAGTGTCTTGTATCCTCTTATCGTTCTTCGAGTGTCAATGTGTATGTTTCTAATAACTCTCTCCAATGTTAGGTTAAAGAGCATTGGAGAGAGTTATTAGAAACATACACATTGACACTCGAGGAACGATAACAGGATACTTTCTGAGGGAAACTCAAGACCCACAACCAACGGGCACACTCTACAACCAACCACTTCAGTATCTTGCATATGCTGATGACATAGCACTTCTAGGGAAATGTATAAAAGACATATCAAAATCCTTTATTGAATTAGAAGACGCATCTTTACAAGCAGGGCTGGAAGTTAACAACCAAAAAACAAAATACATGACCATGATAAGAGAGGAACAAACAGAAGAAACAATTAAAATTAGAAACCAAACTTTTGAAAAAGTAAATCAATTCAAATGCCCAGGATCCTTGTTAAATGAAAGAAACGAATTACTAACAGAAATAAAAGAAAGAATATCAGCCGGAAACAGGGCATACTTCAGTAGTCAGAAAATACTCAAAAGTAAAAACATTACAAGAGAAACAAAGAAAACTATTTATAAAACTGTAATCAGACCAGTTGTAACAGCTGGACCCTAACAAAAACAGCAGAAAACCTATTAAACACATGGGAGAGGAAAGTTCTCAGGAAAATATATGGGCCAACAAAGGATGAATGTGGATGGAGAATACGAACCAACCAGGAATTATACAGTCTATATCAGGATCCTACGATAGTGGCAGAAATAAAAAGAGGCAGGCTGAGCTGGGCAGGACACCTAGAGAGAATGACAGAGGAACGAAGAGGGTACATCACCCCACCCCCAACCCGAGACCGCGACGTGGCCACGACAGGCAGCTCCGGCCAATAAAAACAAGAACTCAAAGGCAGACCTAGGCTTTGGTGGATATATGATGTAGAAAAAGATCTACAGCAGCTGAAAGTCCAAGCATGGAAAAGAAAGGCATTAGTTAGGTCTGAGTGGAAGGAAGTGGTGAGGCAGGCCAAAGCCCTACATGGGCTGTAGCGCCACAGGGATGGATGGAGTATACTTGGAAGGAAAGGACAGCTATCATTAAAACAAAGAACAAAAACATTCTAAAGACAGACTAATGTACAAGAGCTATAATTTATAATATGTTTCGTATTTGATACTCTTTTGTTTTCATTAACTGTTCATTTGTACTACATTTTGTCCAGAATAATGTGCTCTATTATTTTATGCCTGAACAAAAATACCATTAATTCAAAAATATCTGAATTTCAAATGTGATTGAATATTTTTTAAAGCAATGGCAAAAATGAAAACTTCTAACTTCAAAATATTATTAAATTCATATGGGCTGCATGGTCACAACCTCAGGTTATCATCAAAACCCTTATCAGACGAGAACTACTTCATCACTATACTATTAGCCACCATCTTAACGAAGATAAGAAACTCAAGTGTGCTGTTGGCTTACTTTATCCCTGTATGCTTTAAAATATGAAAAAACTTCAATAATTTAATTAAGGAGAAGATTTACAATTGCTCTGTACTTTGTAGTTGTGTACTTGCAGCTGTTAACGGGCAATTTTTATTTAAAAAATCATTTAATAGTTTGCTCCAAGGATCTTTTGCCTCTCATAAAAATAGTATTACGTCTATTATTACTTGAAAGATTGTGTAATTTGCATATACCTTAATACTTTGGTCTTTTCTGCCATTCATGAATGATAGTTACTCTGAACCCGTTTTATCGGGACATACAAAACAGGGAGAAATGAGGAAATCTAGTGCAGATTTAAATATTTGTATTCTTTTGAGTTGGCGACCCAGTCAGCCGACCTGTTTTTGGTATCAGATGAATAGGTTTGTTGGCTGTTACTGGGCAGCTTCGGTTTTTGCCAGTGTGTCCGCTTGTTCACGTAACTTAGGACTTTGAACCCATCACAGGTCATATTTATTTATTTATTTATTTAGGCATTTTTATATAGCGCTTATCATAAAGCTCTAAGCGCTTTACAATTATTAAAACATGTAAACTAAGTAAATACAAATGAGACACTAGGATAGTAACATGATAAGATATCTTTCAATGAAAATGGCTATAAAACGAGGACACTTTGACACTTCAGGATCAACCCGAAACAGAAAATGAGGTAGGGCAAGGAGGGTGCATCACAGGTCATAGGCGGACCTAAACAGATGAGTTTTAAGGGATGCAATATATAGTGCAATGAGTCTCATCAAAGATATGAGATAGCTATAGAAAAAATGCAACATTTGATTGGCTCATTTAATTATGTAAACTGAACAGCTCCGTTACGCTAATAGATAAGGTTTGGAGTTTGGTAAAATCAATAAAGTAAACCGTACAGTATGCTGATAAAGTCGAAACCTACATTAGTCTACCATCTACTGTACCTGTACCTATACATAAATAAATGAATAAGCTAATTCCATACTGGATCCACAAATGCCGTCACACTATTTTATCCGATCACACTAATAAATGTGTGCAACCGGGCAAACAAGACCCTGGGGTTCCTAAATCGAAAGATCGGCACCTCAAAGGTGAAAAAAAAAGGTTATAAAGCCTTTGTTAGGAAAGTACGCATCTACAGTCTGGGACCCTCTTACCCAGAAAAGCATCGACAGGTTGGAGGTGGTCCAGCGACGAGCAGCTCGCTTTGTCCTGAACCGCTACAGAAACACTTCAAGTGTTGGCAGCATGCTGGAAACACTGTGCTGGTCACCATTGGAAGAACAACGACGACGACTATACAGGCTCACCATGTTGTACAAGATCAAAAATGAGCTGGTCCACTGCTCCAGTATCAAACAGAAACTCGTCCATCTTCTCTCACCCCCCACCCCCAACCCGAGACCGCGACGTGGCCACGACAGGCAGCTCCGGCCAATAAAAACAAGAACTCAGTACAGTAGCTTCCAAAGGCAACAGTTGAGGCGACTACACTCGACACATTTGTGTCTATTACCTCCTGTCTTCCAACCCCCAGTTCATAATACCACTGCTGAGTAGCCCATGTGAAGTATCACCTTGAAAACCATGCACAGTAACATCGCGAACCCCTCTTAAACATATGAGCCAGAATGATCAATTCATTGATCTTGGGCCCTCAAAATATAGAAGGAGAAGAAGATAAATAGGCTATATGAAGTCTTTTGTGAATATTTCATATCTTCTTAATTTAATTATGCCGTCAATATACGTACACGCATACAACTGAATAGACCTTTCTACAACAACAACAAAATTAATTTCTTTTGACTGGTAAAACTTGGAAATATTTTTTTAAGAGTTAAAGTTAATTAGTACATTGTTGGTTTTATTTAATTAATTTATTTTATTTTTCATTTCAAACTGTAAAATGATGTCAGCATTAGCTTTTTTGTGATGGAAACTTTCTTGGACTGATTGTTCTGTTTTTTTTTTTTTTCAATCTATTTATTGATTAAGTAGTTAACCCCCAAATTACTTAAAATAAAAATAAAAGCCGCATTACTATTTAGTTATAAAAAAAAATTGTATAACACAAGCAGATCAAGCAGAGCCTCTTGACAATCAAACTGTAAAATGATGTCAGCATTAGCTTTTTTGTGATGGAAACTTTCTTGGACTGATTGTTCTGTTTTTTTTTTTTTTTTCAATCTATTTATTGATTAAGTAGTTAACCCCCAAATTACTTAAAATAAAAATAAAAGCCGCATTACTATTTAGTTATAAAACAAAATTGTATAACACAAGCAGATCAAGCAGAGCCTCTTGACATTTCGAGGCTCTGTGCCACTTTTCGGTTTTGTCCTCCAACACATTGCATTAAAATATGATAAGTCCGAAAATATTCACATCACGTCATTAAGCTCCAAAAATATCCAAGGCCAATGCTCATTGCAATCGTATGGGTTGCTGGGCTCACAGGATGTTACTGAGGCTAAGTGATAACTTCATTTTAAAAAAAACAAAAAACAAAAACTGGTATCTCTTCCGTTGCTCTCAAATGTAGAATGTTAAAAATCTAAATTTAAGTGTTTGCTTAAATGCATTCTTGCATTTTGAATTTATCAAAAATTTTCCGGGGACTATAAAAATGTAAGAGGCGATAGTAAGCTAAGAAATTGCAAACCCTCAAAGGCGCCACAACTGGAATGAATTTAGTTGCGGCGTTAAAAAATGTCTTTAAATATTATTATGGCTAATTTTGGCGCTTCCCATAAGAAAGTTTGAAATATCACCTCAAAAGAATCTGAAAGAAACACCGAATTAAGTATGCTAAAAAATGCACCACTGTATTTTGAATTTGCGCGACTGTCTTCGGCACCCTCAATTTATGCACCTATTCCCTTACGCTGATCAATGTTGCAATGAATTTGAATACACAAGCTTGTGCCAAATGATTACCCTGGGGCACGCCACAACCGGGGTGAATTCAGTTTATGTATGGCACTGGCACCATAATGCCTCCCCGGAACCTTAAAAATTTCCTCGCCCCTGATCAAAAAGTCTGATAGAAATATTGAATTCAACTATACTCTAAAATGCGCCTCTTGATTTTGAAATACTAAAAAAATTTCTGCAACTCAAAATTCATCTTACTTACTTACTTATACTGTAACTGTAGGGCGTGTGCTGTTTGCAAGATTTTTCAATTCATCTTGGTCATGTGCTTTCCTTTCCAGTTGCTTCCAGCTGTATTCCATATTTTGTGCGTCTGTCTCTAGCTCGCATCTCCATGTATGTTTGAGGCCTCATCTATTTCCTTTTCCCTGTTGATTTAATGTTAGGGATTGTCTGGTGATGTTATCTGGGGATTTGGGGAGACTGTGCCCTGTCCATCTAGCTCTTTTCCTTATGAAGTCTTCATCAATAGGCTCCTAGTATGTCCTTTCTAGAAAGTCTTTGTTGGTGATGATCTTTGAACATTTTATGTTCACGCTTTCTAACGCAAGTGTTTATGAATGTCCGTAATTTCTGCGTAATTCTCGCTGTTGTCCTCAAAGTTTTGGCTCCATAGAGTAAGACTGTTTTAACATTTGTGTTGAACATTCTGATTTTATTTTCAAGAGTCAGCTGCATATTTTCTTTAAAAGCATCTGCTGACCTATAGCCTTTCCAATTCTAGCACTGACATCCGCTTCGGATCCACCATTCATGTTAATGGTGCTGCCTAAGTATGTGAAGGCCTCCACGTCTTCCACTGCATTTCCTGCCAGAGAGATATGCTCTTGGTTGGCTGTGTTCAGCTTTATTATCTTTGTCCTGCTTTTATTTATATAAATAAAATCAAGATTCATCGGCGCCCTCGATTTGGTGCACCCACTGGTCTGGCGTCTAAGGGGGTGAATATTCAATCTGCCACTCCTTAGCTACGCCTCTGGCCACTGCCCACTGCCACTGCCCCCCCCCCCAATCTGAAATGCCCCCCCCCCGGGAAATATCTGAAAGAAAGAAAGAAACGCTGGTCTCACGCATCACATGAAAAAAGGGGCAGGGTGTGTCAGATGAACACAACCCCTCAATAAAAATTACGAAATTACTAACTACCGTTGAGAAAAAAAACTTAATCAACGCAAATAAAAGTGAAAATAATAATTAATTAGTAGGCCTATGGCAACAAATAATTGCCTAATATTATGTACTTCCTGTTATCATTATCTTTAACACTTTAATTTATGCTTTATAATTGATAGACTGTCACCTCGACCCAAGACTATACCGAGAAAAAGGGGGGTCCTTTGCGAAGCCTGAAAATGGCGCCCATCAAATTAAAAAGGGTGGAGTGGGGGAAGTGCCACCTAAGACGAAACAGTTAAAAATTGATTTTCGTCCCCTTTGTCTGTGTGAGTAGCCCCCAAATTATTTATCGTTTAATTTATTTTAAAATTTATTTTTAAAACCAATTTGGGAGCCTGGGGCGTGTGATCCCTTCTTTAAAATTGTTGTTCCAGTAACACCATCATTCGAATAACTCAAATAGCTGTAACTATAAGCAGAAAACTTGCTTTTTTAGTTGACATTTACAATTGTCTTCTTTCCGAAATTTCACCAATGTTCTAATCCAGTTTTAGTTATTCGAATCATGATGTTGCTAGAACAACAATTTTTCTTTAAAATAGTTAATATTACAGTTAGTAAAGCTAAGACGTTATGCCAAGTAAACAAATAATGCGTGTCTCAATTGAGTTAAGGCTTAAAGTCTAGTATCCTTGAAAATAAACAATGCATAAAAATGAAATAAAATATTTTCAATGTTTATTATAAGACACAGACGTAAATATGGCACATAATCATAAATGACTTGGCATACTTTATATCAGTAAAACATTTTTTTCGGTTTTGAGTCCTAACTTCTAGTAAAAGAAGTTATTTTGTTTTTATCGGTTTTGGATGTACCACCATGTTTTCATTTTAACCGGAAGCACATGTATGATTATAAACTTACAATCCATTTCCAACGACAATTATTTCTCTGTCATCAACTTAAAGGGCTAAATTAAATAATCTTTGTGATGGGTGGCACGAAAAAGAAAAAGGTAAAAGAAAATGATGGTTTATAACGTTTTCATTCCTTTGGGATGATGTCATTTTTACTTAACTAATTTATAAAAAAAATAATATTGTCTTGTGTCGTACTCTCAACCGTCCGTCAACCGTACTCAACGTATCGAAGTATGCACTGTTCTCGTAAATTTAATAAAATAACTCAGGAATACTTACGAAATTTTAAATATTAACAATATACTTTTTTAAAAAACTTTACAGTACTTAGTACCGACCTGTCTAAGCCTAGTCATAGTCCTGCAAATTTTAGCTCAACTCAAGTTATTTTTATCTGATATCTGGGATAAAAAAAAATTAAAATATTAAATAGGCAATTCCAGCCAGCCCATTACCATTACATTATTCTTATTATACTATAACTGTTTATGTTAAGTTCCTATGTTGGATTCACCCACCTTTCTTTATTTGGATAGTTGCTAGAATTACATTTCTCATTAAAAATTAATCTTAAGACTTAAGACTTAAGAGATGATTTTTTGGGGTGAGCGTTATTTAAGGCCATGCCGTCAGTGGTGTGTTCAATGGTATATCTGATGGCAATCCTCTGAAAACATGTCCCAAATTCAAAACACTAGTAAAACATATCATATGAGCATTCACTTTGACAGTTCAAAAATAATGTTTATCCAAGTACATGGTCAAATGTGATAATCGTCACTCAAAAACCTTAAACTTAAGTACTGTCTGCATACATGTTCTTTTTATGGCTATAGCATCACAGGAAAGCACACAAGTAGCTTGGTCAATTTATGCTTGGCCTGCATCCAAAGTTCCTCAATAGTCTGTGTGAATTTGTGGATGAACAGGATGTACGGAATCTTGGGCATGCACAATGACATCTTGCTTATAGACTTCGTTATTGATTTGATTGAGATTAGCATAGCCAGCCCATGCATTGGTAACATGATGAGTTATAATGCATTCAAGTGTTGGTGCATTTTTCTGCTCTATGATTTCCAATTTCAATAATTCCTCACGTTATCAAAGATGATCAAGCAAAAAAAAAAAAAAGACAACTTGAACACGTTTTCCGACAGTATTTGAATTGATTGTGTTGAGTGACAATTATCATATTTGACCAAGCACTTGGTAAAAAATTATTAAATTGATAAAGTAACTGCTCATTCGATGCAATTTACTAGTGTATTGAATTTGGTACAGGTCACAGGTGTTTGGAGGATTACCATAGTGATTCATAGTCTCCACTGCTGGTTTTACATAGTTAGTAGAGACCGACCGAAATTGATTTTCTGATTTCGGCCGAAAGTTTAAAATGACTTTCGGCCGAAACCGAAAAAGGCCGAAAGTTTAAAAATGAATTTCGGCCGAAACCGAAAAAAGGCCGAAAGTTAAAAATGAATTTTGGCCGAAACCGAAAATGAAATATTAAGATATTTTGAAATTCGTTCCCGCATACATTTTGCATACATCGAAATGATGTGGGAAAGTCTAAATATTTACATTCTTTTTATAAAAAATGAGATAATAATGAATATTTATAAATAAACATCTAATATAGGGGTCTCAAACTCGCAGCCCGCGAGCCATTTGTGACTCGCAAGACGATATATTGCGGCCCGCTACAGGACAGAAAAGTTTCGTGTAAATGCGCCGGCCCGTTTCCCCCATTCTCATATCTATAACGTGACTCTCCACGACGGTTCAGTCGAATCTCACCGACTAGTCTAATTCTGTTTTTTTTTTCTTTAATGTTTCTATATATTTCTGTAGGCAACAGGGAGTAAGTGGATGAAAGTGAATCCTAGTTCTTGAGAACCCTTAATGATTTTATTGTTATTTATAAAGGTTGAGCAGATTGTAACAGTTGTAATCGCTTTTTTGTGGATTATGTGATAGGGCCCACTCTCATTCAGACACTGCCCCTCCCCCCCCCCATGATTTGAGTTTGAGACCCTTGATCTAATGAATACTTTGGATTCTACCATTTTAATATAAAATTAATTTAATTGCTTTACAATTTTTTAAAATTAGTATGATAGAAGAAAATTAGCCAAAAAAATTGGGGGGGGGGGATTAATGCAAAATATTATTTTTATAAACCGGGTCTCTAAAATTTGTGGTTCTAAAGGATTGCTTAATTTGTTTTTAAAGATCGTTTAGTTGGTTGCTATTGATCGGTTAGATTGTTCTTAAAAATCGGTGAGTTTTTTCATAAAGATCGCTTAGATTGTTCTAAAATATCGCTTAGTTTAATCTTAAAGATCGCTTAATTTGTTGTTAAAGATCACTTAGTTTGTTGTTAAAGATCGTTTAGTTTGTTCTTAAAGATCGCTAAGTTTGTTGTTAAAGATCGTTTAGTTTGTTGTTTAAGATCGTTTAGTTTGTTGTTAAAGATCATTTAGTTTGTTGTTAAGAGATCCTTTAGTTTGTTAAAGATCGCTTAGTTCGTTGTTAAAGATCGTTTAGTTTGTTCTTAAAGATCGCTTAGTTTGTTGTTAAAGTTCGCACAGTTTTTGTTAATGATTGCTTTATTTTTTCTTAAAGATCGATTAGTTTGTTCATAAAGATCGCCTAGTTTGTTGTTAAATATCGTTTAGTTTGTTCTCAAAGATCGCTTAGTTTGTTCTTAAACGCTGCTTAGTTAGCTGTTAAATATCGCTTTCGCTGAGTATCAAAGGACCGAAAACCTGAGTCACTGTCTAAGTGAATTTCGGCCAAAACCGAAGAAAAACCGAAATTTAACTTTTCTCTTTCGGCCGAAACCGAAATTAAGCCGAAAGTTAACTTTTTAGTTTCGGCCGAAACCGAAACTTGGCCGAAAGTGATAAAATGGCTACTTTCTGCGCCGAAACCGAAGCCGAAATTCGGTCGGCCTCTAATAGTTAGCCTACTGATTTAACTGATTCTGTGTTTGTTCCACAAATTATAGAAATTTTAATTTTAGATTAAGCTGTAATCTAATAATGATTTTTTTTTTTTCAGCCATAGGGTGGAAATAGTTGTAAAATGTATTGTGGATGTCCATAGCCATAACCAAGTGTTGCCGGGGTCGAGATTAAAAAAAAATTAAACTCGCCCTACCCAGTCTATGCCTATGCATTAACTTAACCAGTATATAGGCCTTTTTATATGTTATAAAATAGGCATAAGGCTATTATGGTCTATTTATTCATTTCTTGGGAAAAGTTCATATTTTGAGGAACTATTGAGTTTACGATTTAAGAATTGGATAGTATTAGGATTTTTTATTGTATCCTATTTTCACAATATTAACCTGGTTAACAAAGACACTAGGTCACTAAGCTACATTTTTCAATTTTTAATGCTATGGAACTTGATTTTGTTTTCTTCATATTATGATTAGACAATTAGAGGAAATTACTTGTATACTTCATCAATATAATTTTAAGAAATTTTTATTGAGGCTTCATAAGATATTTTAAAAGACATGATCTTCAACCAACATGTAAATGTAACAGTATTTTCCCCTTCTAAAATAAAAAAAAATATTTTATAACTGTACCTACTGAGGTGTAAGAACTGGAATTGACAAATACATAAATTTATCCATGATTCATGGACAATGTTAAGCATGGGAATTTGAAGAAAACAAAACCTTTAAATTCCAATTTAGACCTTTCTATTCCTTATAAAGAAAGGGGGATTTACAGAAGGGACAATTTTATACTGAAGTGGGATATGTAATATTGAGGGCTACAATATTATTGTGGGTTTTTTTGGGGTTATTTTTATGAGGGGCAATAAACGTGACATATTTTAGCTTTACTTGATTTTGTAACATTTTATCTAAGAATGTTTTTTTTCAAAAACTTTTTAGTTCGAGCGTGGAGCAGCAACAGCTTTTGTGTCAAGGAACAAAGCTTTGAAAAAGCTTCAGCTGAATTTGGCAGATTTTAGGTGGGTAATTACAAATTACATATCCACATTTTGTTGTAGTTGTGGGTTGAGTTCAAAGCAACCTTATAAATAACAACAGAGCCAGAAAGTGCATAACTGAAAGAAAAAAAAATATTACAATTTATACACAATATTGGTAATTTGAAACTCAAAGAATGTTATCCACCATATTTAAAAAAAAACATTCTGTCACAGTATTAGTTTTGGTACATGTTTTGGTTAGAGGTAATTGAGGAAATGTGAATTAACAATTAAATTAACCTTTAAAAGAAATATCTAAGAATTAAATATCATGTTTGTGGAATATTATTATTCATTCATTAAAAAAAATTTATAGTACATTCGTCACTCATTTTAAAAAGTAAATTAAAGATTGAATTTTATTAATTGTGTCATTAATACGATGTAATCTCCATGTCATTAAAAAAAAAAGTTCAGTGATATAAAATTGTAAAAAGCTTTAACTCTAATATTTCATTTAAATATTATAAGTCATGATTACAAGAAGGAATACTGTATCACACTGGTTTGGATTGAAGGAGATATTTTTTTTTAAATATATAAATATCACAATCATTGCGGTATACTTTTTAAGCTGAGAGGGCTTCTGACAGCTTCTAAAGCAGACTAAATTGTGAACAAAAACTCTTACTAGATTTGGGACCAACAACAATTAAAATTAGAACTCCAAAAGCTGACACAACTAAGGTTCTGTTTAGCAGGAAATGTGGAGAAAATAGGATTTATTCTGCCTGAGATCCACTAAAAATAGTTATATTTTAGATTTAAAAAAAAAAAAATCTCTTGTTATATTTTCAGAACATTATGCATATTCAAAGGAATATATCCAGTAGAGCCACTCCACAAGAAAAAGGTGAACAAAGGAAGCACTGCAGTCAAGACTTACTACAATTTGAAAGACATACAATTTCTCTCACATGACCAACTCATAACAAAGTTCAGAGAAAAGAAGGTGCCTACTCAAAAATGATAAGATTTTGTTTGTTTGTTAAGTTTAATAAGGAAAGATAACCTCAAGCATTTCCATAAGTAGTTTAAAAGTTAGTTAGTCCAATATATAAATATTGATGAGTATAACTTATTGATTATACTTTTACTTCTATTTCAAGCATTACGTAAGGAGGTTGAAAAGGGCAGTGGCCAAAAAAAACCGATTTGCTGAATCTATAATACGAGATAGCAAACCAGTTTACAGTCTTAAATCTGTGATTAAAGAAAGGTGAGTGAAAAGATAATTTAAATTAAAAGATTTATTTTATGAAGCATGCTGTTTCAATTACCATTAAAAATTCTTTTACATTTATCAAATCTTTGTGCCCTTCATTTATATAAAACCTACATAGCTCGAAGGTAAAATTTATATATATATATATATATATATATATATATATATATATATATATATATATATAATTTCTTTTTTAATTTTTTTTTTTTTTTTAATATATATATATATATATATATATATATATATATATATATATATAATGCCTTTTTTAAGATCTTGTTTTACTTTCAAACTTCAATTCCCAGGTATCCCACATTTATTGATGCCCTGAGGGATCTTGATGACTGCCTGAATTTGTGTTTTGTATTTGCTTCTTTTCCTCACTCAAAACGTGTACATGTTGAGATGGTACAGATGTGTAAGAAAAGGACAGGTAAAGCTTTTATTATATTTTTACAGGGTGAAGTGTAAAATATTTTAACCCTTGATATGAGCACCATGAGAGATGAACGAAAAGGGCAAGCAGCGAACAAAATATTTAAAAGTTATTAATCTTATAGATCCTTAAATAATTTGTTAACAATTTAATTAATAAATCTAAAGTATAATGCAAATTAACATGATCAAATGGTTTAATGTTTTCTATCAGTCTGTTATTTGCAAAGTGTGTGGATAAGTAGCGTGTTATCTATCTTTTAGTTTGAAATTTGTTTATCTTAACCAGCTAATGTGATCTTGTTGTCCGCAGTTGAATTTCAGCACTATGTGATTGCAGCAAAAGCTTTAAGAAAGGTGAGTTCAAACCTTTGTCATCTTATCATTTGTTCACCTCAAATCTATGCTGTCATGTTTGCTCAGATCAAAGCTATTCTGTCACTTAAACTTCATTCATTCATTTTAATGGTAGTGCATTAATTTAAAGGAGACACATAATGTTTTTTAAAATCAAGATATAGTCTTTTATGTTCAATAGATTTACAGTGTTTTTTTGTTTGTTTAAATCTCTTTCAATCAGGTCTTTGTGTCCATAAAGGGCATCTACTATCAAGCAGATATTAAAGGGGAAACAATAACTTGGATTGTCTCTCACAAAAGAGGCTTCACGGTATGCATCAAAATAATTTATGCCAACATTTATTTTTTTTTATCATTAGTTAAAAATAGTAAACACTTCAACAAAAATCATAATCTACTTTTAACCTATCTGAATATTTGCTTCATGCTTGTGACATTTTCCAGTGGTCATATCACCTACATTTTATATTTTCAGCATCCACAAGATGTTGATTACAAGATCATGCAGACATTTGCAGAGTACCATTCTGTTCTTTTGGGTCACATAAATATTAAGTTGTTCAGTGACAAAAATTTGGTATATCCACCTGAGGTAAGCTAGACTTCCTTTATCACTACTCAGCTTAAAGCGACTTTTTGAAAGGTTCAATTTCTTGCTCAGTGGTAGAATAGAAATCCTCTTTGGGTCTTGACCAGAGCTATCTGATAGCAGGGGTAATAAGGGGAGAGACTGCAATCAGGTTAGTACAAAATAAAATGAGTAAAACAGAGTAGGGTTAAACCTGAAAAAATAAACGCAACAAAACAGCGAACGTGTCGGCAGAAAGCCTTCGTCAGCGAACAAAACAAACAGAAAAAACGGTTATGTTAATTTGTGTTCATTACTATTTTATTTAATTAAACAGATTGGGAAGTTTTTTCTCGAAAGCTGTTCACATAAAATTAAGTAGGCGAAGTTTTTTCTCGAAAGCTGTTCACATAAAATTAAGTAGGCGTAGGGGCTTTTCATGATACAGTATCTTGAATTTTTACAAACATGAATGTAATGTATGTGTCATATATTTTATATATTGTTTAAGTTTGCAAGGGATGAAAGACTTAGAATGGGTATTCTCAAATGTAGTTTTTGTAATGTTGCGTTTTGTATTTTAATGTGGTATAATATAGATTTTTCTTTTAATACTAATACTTTGTACCCCGCTTTGAGCCTTTCGGGATGAAGCTTGATTTTCAAATAAACTTTATTATTATTATTATTACTATACATATATTCTTAATTAAAATTATGTTTCTCTCACAAGAGGATTGCTAAGTGTTGAATAATGTCACACTGTGGTGCATTTTAATAACATTTATTTTTTAATGTTCACTCAGCTGGCAGAGCCGCAGCAGTTTATTGATCAGGATCAGTGTTTAGAGACGGACAGAACAGATGAAAACCTGGCGAGTCTTGCACCAGCCATTAAAACAACAGGGGAGACACAAGATGAAGAAGATGACGATGCTGAAGTAGATGCCTTGAATGCAATAAGTGTACGCACATTTATTAACCAGAAAATTTTCATAATTATTTTATTTTAAGGAATTGCTCATCGTGTACCTGTTTTTTTTTTTGTTTTTTTTTAAATTAATTTGTTTTAAAAATGAAAATATTTTATAAAATTATAATATGCATTTAATTTTATCAAAATTATATTTTGTAATAACTTTCCCCTTATATTTTAAATAACTCTTTATTCAATTTGCATATAATTTAGATGAAATCTTTAATTAATAAAATTGTTCATTTTCTATATTTCTCATTTCTTATTAGGCTGACGACCCGGACTTTATTGAGAAATCCAAACTGGAGGCTGAAAGTGTGAAAAAATTACAAAACTTGTTTAAAGGCCTTAGGTTCTTCTTGAATAGGGAAGTTCCAAGAGAGGAGCTAACATTTGTCATTAGGTAAGACCAAGGCATCAGTATGCATAAGCAGTTCAATAGTTTTGTTTAGTCAAGGGGTAATTAGTAAAAGCACCAAGATTAATATTTCATATGGCTCTTTATTCACTACTTCTCAGCATTCCTTCTTCCTTCTATTCTCTCTCTGCAGAACTGTTTACTCTTACCATTTTGCCGTACAATGTACGATTTTGAGATGTCTTTTATGATTGTTTGCCAAGATGTGACAGAAATACAATTTTAAGAGACCAGACCGTGTTGAAATATATATATTCCGGTAGCTTTTCCGATTAAAAAAAATTAATCAATTGACAAGTACATTGTTGGTCGTTAGTTTTAACTTGTATTTGCATTCTACATCCAGCCGTGCATGGGTCGAGAAGTGCGATTGATTGGGGTCATCTGTAATTATATTACGTTTGCCCTGAGAGGGGAATAGAGTGGTGTTGATTATGAAATTTTATGTACATGTGGGGGAGGGTGGTCTAAATATTTAAGTCATAAAATTAACACCGCCACATTTTCGTAATACTAGTGGGGATTGTCATATTGTTGCTTTGATTTTCATAATGAACTTGCGACAGTAATATTAGCTTAGTCACCCGAGTGTCCATTTTATTAAATCAGTGGCTATCGTTGCACACTGAGGTGGGGGGGTTAATAATTAGGTTTTGCGCACGTGTGGGGTCTGGGGATGTTGGCAGAAAGTACATACGTTATTCAAAAATTTTATATTTTTCCTGAAACTCTTAAGAGTCCAAAAATAGCATTCAATTTATGTCTCGAAAGCTGTAAAAAATATCATGCATAATGTTTCCATGTGTTTTTTACAGATGGTACTAAGTAGTAGAGGTATTACAGCAGCGGTTCTCAACCTGTGGGTTGCGACCCCTTTGGGGGTCACACAACCCTTTCCCATGGGTCGCCTAAGACCATCTGAAAACACATATACTCTACAATTATAAAGTATCAACGAAAATAATTTTGTGGTTGGGGGTCGCCACAACATGAGGAACTGTAATAAAGGGTCGCGGCATTAGAAAGGTTGAGAACCACTGTATTACAGTAATATTTAGTCCACGCTTGTCCAATGTGCTTGTGACTAATGTCCATGAATGAAATAGCAAAACGAGGTATATGTAACTAGATTGGCATCTATGTGACACAATCGCATATATTACATTACTGCTGACACAGGCGAAACCCTCTTAAATGCTAAAGATACCTTTAGGGAGGCCGCCAATGCTATCAGTTTGGAGTGTAAAGCGACAAGTCCTGCAGCGGTTTCTTAAGCATGGTTTAGATCGAAGGCGACTATGAACCAGAAGATCACCTAGATTTCTGTCCCGTCTAAAGACAATCAGTGGAGGGGATGAGAAAACCCTGTTTGTATCGGGGTCAGCAAGAAGTATGGTACAATTTTTTAGGAATATTTTTTTGGCAATTTAAATGTAATATATGCGATTTGTGTGCCATAGATGCCAATCTAGTTACATAGGTGAAACTGGGAGAAGATTGGCCGACAGGTTTACTGAACATCTCCAGGATATTGAGCAATGTAAACCTTCCCCAGTCTCATCTCATTTCAACAGAAAAGAACATAAAGGTGCATTGGATGTAACCACTACGGCACTGATTTCATGCAGTAACACACCAGAGAGGGTTAAAATGGAAAATAAATTTATTCAGCTGTTAGGCACCATATCTCCATATGGTATTAATCAAATAATATCCTACTGATGTTTCTCTGTTTCACTATATTTCATCTATTTTCTTATTGCTGTGTGTTTATGTATCCCTGGATATTGTGGTCCATTATTATTGTGGACCTCATTTGTCACAGTGTCAATATTTATATTCTCTCGCTTCCTGCGCTCCCACTTCCGGCAACAATAATGGATATTTCTTGAGTTGTTTACTGTGCTCTGTTCATTGTGATATTTTCATTTCTACTGTTAGCTGAAGAAGGCTTTATGCCAAAACGTCCGTAGCTTTTTGTCCTGTTCTCTAATTCAAGCTTCCACATACCTCGTTTTGCTATTTCATTCATTTTCTAGGCTTGAATGCAGTCCTTTAATTTATATTTTTGACTAATGTCCAATGTGCTTTTGACGCACATTTTGTTGGGCTACACATGTAATATTCAGGTTTTCACCAGGCTCCCTGTGTTCAATTCTAATAAGTACACTTCGAAATAGCAAATACATAAACAAAATAAATTTAACACTTTTGTAGTTCACTTAGCGCCTTCTAGTAACTGCAGACATTAGTTACTTTCAAGTGAGTTACTGCTTGCTCCATGACAGCTAGATGTCACATTGGATTAAGGTGGAAATAAAATTATTAAAATTGTGTAATATTTTGCAACGCCACTGTGAGAATGCAGCAGCCAACCATATTTATTTATTTATTGAGGCATTTTTATATAGCGCTTACCATAAAGCTCTAAGCGCTTTACAATTATTAAAAACATGTAAACTAAGTAAAATAAAAATGAGACACTAGGATAGTAACTACTATACTATAGAAACAATGAAAATGGCTATAAAACAGGTTGGGGTTGTCACAAAAATACCAGGGTGGTAGGTGTTCGAAAATTTGACCTTTTTTTGGGGTTCGTACCATATAGATGACCCCTTGCGTTTTTTTTTGTTGCTTCAGCGCTGTATAAGGTAATTTTGTGACTATTATTTCTTATGGTTGAACCGCGATGAGTGCAGAAACTGCCCTTTGAAATCTATTTTTAGAACGCACTTAACAGTTTTACTCTCATTAATTCGTGTCCTCTTCCTGTACCCATTTACGGTTTTTGGTTGTTTTTTTTGTGTTATCAGACTGAAATATGTAAACGATATGCATATATGCAAATATGGGTATTGATTCTTATTTCTGTTCACCAGTAATTTTATTTTACCAGTCACAGACTGTGATAATGTGATCTCCATGTTCACCTAAATATTAATTGATATCTTATAGCAGATACACGTCTGCAAAATAAAGTGACAGCAGATTGCAATATAAACATCATACATCTACGTTTAAAAGTAATTTTTTTTTTTTGGCGCCAGCTGAACTCGATCCTGCTAGACACTCAATGCGAGTGGTTATTGTATTCATTATATATACTGTATGTTAATTATTATTAAAATACTGCATTGTAAGATCTTGAGACAATATTTTATGAATTTGAGGGTAAAGAGGTTTGTCTCTGCATACCAACACAAAACCCTAACAACGAACACTGTCATCTCTCATACCCAAAAATGTCACCAATACAAACCATATAGAAACAGCTACACAATAAAAAAAAATCTCCACATTAAATACACTCACTAACAAATCAAGTACACAAAACACAAACAAAAACACACACCCATTGAAAAAAATAAATTGACAGGCCTTGTTTTAGCGACTCATGAGTCTTATAATTGCCTACTGGTGCCATACACTGTCCATCATGTGCATTATGTTTCTTTTTAACACTTCTTGTCATTTACTTGACTTTCTCCTCCTATCAGCTTTCTAACACTTGACTGACCAAAAAAGTCTCTTTTTGTAACAATATGGACATCACCTCTAACACTTGGACAAACGATGTAAACCACTGACACTGAAATTTTTATGTGCCTGTTAAATTGATTTATAAAACAACTGCAATTATATTTTCATTGTTTTTAAAACATTAACTACGTAGCTGAATCTTATTAAAAGACTATTTCTTTCCTACAGGGCATGCAGTGGACTAGCATCTTGGGACTACACTCTTGGGGTCGGAGCCACATATCAAGAAGATGACAATAGTATAACACATCATGTCATTGATAGACCAGCAGTGACAAATCAGAGATTAGACAGGTATGCTTTTGTAGCTTTCTAAATTAACATTTTGTTATCCATGAAAAATCTATAATCCAATCTGTTAATAATTTCTTTACAAGTTCAGTTGGTTTTTTTGTGTGACCCTGGCATTATATTTTAGAGTCTCATTTTTGAAGAAAGAAATAAATTGCTGTTTTTTCAATTTGATTTCATCAGACATTTTCATCTTTAACAGATGTGGATATTTGTATTAAATGTTTATCAATAGTTAAGACAAATCAATTCCTGTAGTATTAAAGTAACTGTTTGAAATGTATATTTTATTGGTATTTAAAATGGTATGATTGCATAACTGTCAAAAATTTCTACAAGTCTCATTCGATAACCTACAAATCAATAGCCGCAAGGTATAATTTTTATCATATTTACAAGTTTTGTCAAACAAATATCTTATAAAAATTTAGTTTATTTATATATTGATAACATTTTCATCAAGTTCCTTAATGAGCTAAAGTGTTAAAAAACTCATTTTTTTTTTATTTGAATGAAGCCATTATCAAGCCTTTAATATGAAAGAAACTTTCCATTGCTTTTCAAACTGTCATACCTTATTTTTAGTTAAAATTATTTAATGTATAATCCTGAGATAAATAACTGCAGTTGTATATGTTAAATATTATTCTGAGACAATAAATACATAGAAACATTATTCTCATGTCTACGAAATGGTGAAGAGGAGTATCAAAAAATTAAATAATAACATTTCCTGCATTACCTGATTTTTTTTCCCCCCAGAACATATGTGCAGCCTCAGTGGGTGTTTGACAGTATAAATGCAAGAACACTTCTACCAGCCAAGGATTACTTCCCTGGAGTGCCCTGCCCACCACATTTATCCCCCTTCGTTGAGGAGAAAGAAGGAGAGTATGTACCTGAAGACAAAGTTAAATTCCTGAAAAGGATTCAGGGAGAAGCTGAGGAAGAGGAGGAAGAATCAAGTGAAGAAGATGAGCCTGGAGCAGAAGATGATGAGAGTGATGAGGAGGATGATGATGAAGGTAAGTTTGTTTAAATTAGTTGCATGTATCCACCCATAATTCATTGCTAATAACAGATTGTAAACAAAACAAACTTTACTCACTGCTTTCAATTAACCTAAAGTTTTGTAGAAACAAAATAACATTAACTAATATGTATAATAAAAAAAATCTAAGCTGATACTCATTAGTATTTATAATATATTTTGCTAACAGAGAATAAAGACAGTCTAGAAAAACCTGCTGGCAAAAAGAGAAAGATAGATGAAAAGAAAATAAAAAGTGCTGATGCTAAGAAGGCCAAGGTAAGTCCCACAAATCAGTTTTTTGTCATTAATAATTGTAAATGCATATATACACTATATTTTATTTATTTGTACACATTTGTAAGGGGAGCAAAACTTAGTAAAAGAATTCATAGGGTTGTAGAATATATGAAAAAATTTGGATGTGCTGGTCTAGTCTAATTTCTTGGATAATAATGTTATCAAACCATGGAGTTCATTCAATATATGTAAGTCTATAACAATTTTTTTTAAATGTATCATAGCAATAATATATATATATATATATATTCATTTATTTATTTATAATCACTTTCCTCACAACTTGCGGTGTTGCACCTCAGGTTTAGGAAACAAAGACAAAGAGATAAATGCAAAACAAAATTGACCCTGAGAGACCATAATATACTATTTGTAGCATGTACCAGACAGACCTTTACCTCTGACTAGTTATAAATACTTTGGGGTGGATGATTTTTACACTTATTCTTAACTTAACTTCAGACAATGGCTGTGACCGAAGGTGTACTGGAACGTGTAGACAAACATAAACTACTGCAACAGCAGCAGGCAGAGGACAGAAGGCTCGGAGAGATGATGATACCCAAGAAGCACAAGCGACTCTACAACAAAATCATGACTTCACGAAAGAAGAGCTCACAGGAAGCCAGGAAGCTGCAGGAGAAAAAGGACAAACTGAAGGAACAAAAGAAGAAAGGGAAAAAACTGAAGAAAGCTTAGAGGGATGTGGGTGTCATTTGAAAACTGAACTTTTATGTAATGATAAATGTGTGTTCCATTGTAATTATTACTGGAGGTTCATATAACTGGTTAGAATATGATGAGCCCATGAGTTAGTTGTTCATTTTAAAATGCCTGATGGGACAGATGCAAGTGCTTTCTGATGAAAAAAAGAAAAACCATTGTTTTGTATTTACATGCCGATGTTGTTAGGAAATGTAAGTCGTTATATGGAATTAAAATGTCATTTTACATAATTAACCAGTTCTCATCACTCTCTGTTGCTCCATATAAAAAAATTAAAATAATGCATTACAAACCAATGCTTTAACCCAGATGTTCACAAAAATGATTGACTCCCTGCAGCATCCAAATTGTTCCCAATGCACCCAGTGTCAAAGTCTAACAAGTGCACTGAGAGAAGTCAAGTATTTATTTTAAATTCCCACTCTGGGTTACTGTTTGATAGAAAAATACAATTAATATGAGCACTATAAAGTGAAGTATTTTAGAAATGTCTGGCACCTAGATGTCGCATAATTACTTCAGTGTGGAAATTTTTTTAAACACTTCGTGGCGCCCCTGTGAAGAAGCTGCTGCTCCCCTAGTTGCCACTTTGCACTCTATGACATTTAATTTTAATATATTGACTTTGCTGTTCAAGCTATCAACTACTTGATACTTGACTTTGCTGTTCAAGCTATCAACTACTTGATGCTTGACTTTGCTGTTCAAGCTATCAACTACTTGATGCTTGACTTTGCTGTTCAAGCTATCAACTACTTGATGCTTGACTTTGCTGTTCAAGCTATCAACTACTTGATGCTTGACTTTGCTGTTCAAGCTATCAACTACTTGATACTTGACTTTGCTGTTCAAGCTATCAACTACTTGATACTTGACTTTGCTGTTCAAGCTATCAACTACTTGATGCTTGACTTTGCTGTTCAAGCTATAAACTACTTGATACTTGACTTTGCTGTTCAGGCTATCAACTACTTGATACTTGACTTTGCTGTTCAAGCTATCAACTACTTGATACTTGACTTTGCTGTTCAAGCTATCAACTACTTGATGCTTGACTTTGCTGTTCAAGCTATAAACTACTTGATACTTGACTTTGCTGTTCAGGCTATCAACTACTTGATGCTTGACTTTGCTGTTCAGGCTATCAACTACTTTTTTAAACAATCGTGATGTTTAGACCAACCCCCTGTTCCTTTTAAATGTAAAAAGCATATAGTATATTTTGGTATAAATATGCCGTTAAAATGAATCGAGATGTGACAAACTAATGATCATTCAAAATTAGATTACATTACATTAACTGTAAAACTGGGTATTTATGATGCTGACTCACCTCTGGCCCAATGAAAGTGAGAAAGCAAGTCTGCCTATAGATCAGGAGTAAGTGTTTTGAGTCGTTGTCCGAAGTTATAAATAAGTTATAATAACCTGCTAAATAATTCAAATGAATTGGTCAAGCCAGCAACGTAGCTATTAGGAAGGGTTTCCTCACTTCCCAGGTTTTTGCTTATCTCAGGTAAATGGGAATAGAGTTTTCCTCATCTCCGGATAAAAATTAAAATATATTATAAACTGATTTGAACTATAGAGTAAAATTAAATTGTTGCTTAATTATTTTCTTAACTAGGTAGAGCCCGCAATGGTGACCACAATGTGTGAGATCCCCATCTACTAAATTTACTTGACAGAGGATGCATTAGAAAAACCACTTTATTTAAGTCTCAATAAGTGTGCCCCCCCCCCTCCTTACACCACTGCCTTTGAACTATAAGAACTATATTAATATTGTAATGTCCCACCCCCTTTAATACCGCTGATTTGTACCGCTAAAGTGTGATATAACCACCTGTAGGAAAAAAAACAACTAAAACACTTAATGCGTTTTGCATTCTTTACATTTGCAGGTCGCTAATTCTAGGTAAGAATCCGTCACTAAATATTTACAAGCAAATGTTTCTAATAACTTGTAATTTGTAACTAACTGTAACAATAAATAGGTTTGTTTCGATATTTAAAAAAAAAAAATGATAATAATAATTAGGAATGAAAATAAATGTATATTTATTTGTATATGTTGATTTTTTTCAAGAAAAACACTACGTAATATAAAGTATTAAAAAGTTAGTGTGACACATGAAATCTTTGGATGCGAAGGCGTATCTGTGAGGTCTCCGATGGGAACAATAGACCAAGGGAAATAATTATTTTTAAATAGCTAACTTTTTTTTAAAGTTTGTGTTACAATTTGAATCATGGCATCTAATACATCGTCCTCAACTGCATTATATTTGAAAATTAAGTATCAGTATGTTTTCCTTTACAAGAATTTAACCTATTTAAAAGCCTTTTTTACAATATATCCTTGTAAGGGCCACTTTGCTTTTATTTTTTTTGTAAATGGGGTCGTGACTTAAAAACACTTGAGAGCCTGTGTACTAAAGCTACTGAGCATAGTAATGCAGCGCAATTAGCAAAGTTTTACAGGTCTTATAGTTAAGTTTATATCGACAATCTGTGACTCGTGACTTACCCAAATAATGTAGCCTATAGGGCCTATATATATATATTTCACGCTAAGTCTTTTGTTTACTAAAACTCGTGGCGGGATCCCAGGAGAGAAATCCTAGTAGCAATTCTTAATGAGGAGAAATCCTAAATAAAAACCACCCAAGGGAGAAGACAGAATCAGAAATTACTTTTGTGGGGTTTAAAAATGTACTGACTAGGCATTCTCAAACACTCGCACAAATAAGATTACGAATATGGACTTGCAATCATGTATACTGTGTATCAAAGTGACGACAACCAGAGAAAGTGGGCGGGTGTCCATTACGAATGCATAGGTAAAAGCACTAGCGTGGCATTAATCAATTCAAGACAGCAAATTTATACGCAATATATTGGATACTGACAAGAATGAGGAGAGAGACTGATACTGGAATCAGCTTCTTAAACTAAGTTTTACTGACACAGTGAGTGACAAAGACTCAAGTTCCCAATGACCTAAAATGTTTTCCCCGCTTGATCCAGCATATCTCTATCATCATGAAATGGGGAATTGCCAATCTAAGGAAAGAAACAGATATATTGACACCGAATCGACCTAACAATACACGTACAGCTAACGTATACGTTCAAGTAAGCACTTACTTGTTATCTTTGTCCCGTGACCAAAAATTGTAAAGGTGTTGTTTTTTTTTACAAAAATACTCAATTAAATATATATTTCGTTAAAAATACTTATCTGTCCCGATTATGTTTTCCATACCATTGAACTATTTAGTGATTATAAAGCACTACTATTCTTTTTCTTGGAAAACCTGTTTAGGGTTTTAACGATACCCCCCCCCCCCCCCCCGGGGCTCAAGGACATTCTTTTGAGAAACACCGATTTAGCCTTCGTGAAAGGGGAGATGAATAAAGTAGTAAACATCACGATTCACGAGTTAAGCTTGGAGTAATTTCATCTTGCCGTCTGAGGGCAGTAACAGTAACAGTGAACACCAACTGCGGAAAATCATAATAAACGAAAATATGGCATCGTTTCCTCAAACAAGTGTCTAACTTAGGTGGATTAACCAGGTCAACGAATCCTTTTCGAAAACCGTTATAATTCGTCATGTCTTCAATACACCTCCCGAAAGTTGTAACACAGAGAGGTAAAACATCGTTGGAGATTGAGAGAGAAAACTTTGAGAAAAGACAGGTATGCCTTTTCACCGAACATTTTTATAACAGTAACAGTAGTCAGTAGTATAGTCTAGTACTAGTATCAATACTAGTAAATATAGGCCTATACTATACATTTAATTTTTTTATGGGCCCAATATAATTTCTTTCATAATACATGTTACTGTGACTTATATCATGTAGTCTGTAGTGTAGTATTCATCATGATCATGTATATTAATTTTATTAAATTAAACTATAATTATAATGTAATTAATGTCAAAGTCAATGTGCACAGTTGACAGGCCCTTAAAATAGTGAATAGTGCCTAGGCCTAGGCTTCTAACTTGACTATTAATACTATAGGTATCGGCTATAGAGTATTATAAAATACTATGACTACAATTTATAATACTATAATTGTATAACTCACTATCATCATAATTAATAATTTAGTTCTGTAGTGTAGTATATATATTATATATATATATATATATTAAAATTAATATAATGTCAATGAATAGGCCCTATAGAGTAGACGATTAGTATAATATAATGTAAAAACGTAATATTTATATTCTGATGTGTCACTTGCCACTGACTTGAAGTTGATTGACGTTAATAAGACTATCTACACTACAATCTACAGTTTTAAATTTAAAGACTATAATAGCCTATAATATTATTAATATAGGCCTACTGCCAATTAACTAATGGTCTGCCTATAGGCCTATACTATATTTTATCAATCTAGACATTCTAGTAGGCTAATTATAATATTTATATTAATATTATGTTAAATATTAAGGTTATTATTAGAATTATAGTTAAAGGAACTAAAAATGAGTTAAATGAGTGGGTCTAAAAGCTAATTATGTCTTACCTAGTCTAACATTCTTACTGACATAGCATTAATTCATTAACTAACGGTGCTTAATCATTCTTGAGACCTAACTCAGAAGTATGCAATAGTAATAGCTTTAATAGTAATAGGCCTAACTCAACAGTATGTGTACATTAGGCTAGGGCTAGGGTAGTAAGTGAATAAATCATTGATATTGATAGGCCTAATAATTGATTTGAATAGATAGGCCCTAGGCCTGGCGTTCTATTGAATCATGGATTAGTAGCTGCTGTTGACTTATTGTGTGTCTATAGTTAGGGTTAGCAAAAGTACTGGCAGACCTACTCGGCCCTCTTCTGTGTTTCAGTGTATTAGTATTATCTATGACCAGTATAATCAGTGTGCCACTCATTACTAGTAGAGACGAAATTATTGAATTTTTAACAATTATTTTCTAAATACTACTCAGTGTATGTCAGTATGAACTGTCATGTTATACTGACAGTCATTTATTCATTCATTGATATATGATTTGTGTAATGTCTATAGTCTAGTCCAGGGGTCTCAAACTCAAATTATCCGGGGGCCGCAGGAGGTAGAGTCTGAGTGAGACCAGGCCGCATTAAGTATTCCACAAAAAATGCGGTGGCAAATTCAATAAAGAACAACTGTTACAATCTGCTCAACCTTTATTAATAACACAAAAAAACATTAAGGATTCTCAAAAACTAGACTTCACTTACTTCCTCCAACTCCCAGTTGCCTAAGACCTGGCAGCGTTTCTTGTTTTACAGCTGAGCGGGCCACATTAACATTGAACTTTGC